ACCTCTTCCTAGCTCACTGCACAAGATGGATCTAGAGAATGGACATATTGGCACTTTTCCCAGAATACAAGTTTTGTGGGTCAGAGCTTGTTCTGGATGTAGCAACGCAGGTACATCAGTCCTTTTGCACACACAGCCATCTAGTAGATTATATCCCTATCCTCTGAAGAATGCTTTTGCTCAGCATCCTGGACAAACAGCAATAATAAAACATTATTCAGATGTCGCTTGTTCACTCTTTTTGCACAGCTGCAAGGCAGCAACAGACTTGTTTGTACCTATGTCCAGTAACTGATGAGTGGAGAAAGATGATAAGAAAGATGCTGGCAACCTGGTTTTGAGGGCCAGGAGAGTCACGCACTGAGAAGTGAGGAAGCAATGGAAGGAGCTGCTTTCAAACTCTCAGATTGCTGAGATCCTAGGGCTATTTCACTCTGGAAATAGATGAAGCTCCTGTCAATGAAAGGAGAACAGACAAAGGGACAGGGGGAGCATTGAAAGATTAAACTTAACAAAGTCTTTTGTGGTTGGGAATGCTGGGGGAAAGGGAGCACTCTGAGTGGAGAGTCAGAAGTAGCTCCATTCCTGGTTTTGGCAACTGATTCACAGCCTTGCACAAATCCCTTAAGCTGCATCTGTAATTCCTTTGCCTGCAAGAGATAATTATGCTCTTTGGGATCGACGGATCAAGGTGTTACCCAAAGCCTTGTTAGCATTCCATGCTCACTGCAGGGGGTGTATATACACAAGTGTTTGGACACTAATGACCCATATGTTAAACTATTTATCACATACCTTTGGCCACCTTCTTTGCCCTTTATTCACTCATTCACCTCAGCTGGTTCCTTCCAACATTCCAACCCTCTGTGCAACTCCTAACAACAGTCATTAAAACCAGCTCAGATAAACAAATGTATCCCTCTTCCTTCTCTCATTACAACGCACAGTTGGAGAAATATCCAGTCCTGGATTAAGCATGAGTTAAGGCTTCTTCTTTCGTGAGTCATTGGAAATAGAAACAACTGTTTAAAACCACAGCACAAAGCATTCGCTTCCTGCCATCAGTATTGTAATAAGGGCTTTGATTCATGTGATCATTTGGGAAAAGGCAATGGGAATAGTTGAAATAGCATACAAAGTACAATTTCTGCCCTCTGACTGCTGTTCTGCTCAATTCACAATGAAGAAAGCTTGAGTTTGCTCACAGAGTAGGATGAAAGTCATCCTTGGATGTTCTCAAGACCAGACTGGATAAAGTCTTGAATAACCTCGTTTGACCAATAACTGACTCTGCTTTAAGCAGGATGTTGGATTATGATGTCCTGAGGTCCCTTGAAACCTGGAATATCCTAGGATCCTATGATCTTAAGACAAAACAATGAAGAATATCCAAATAAAAATGTTTTCAAAATTTTTCAGTCTTGATTCCTGCATAGTCTTCTCTGGAAAATGCATAGTAACTCTAGCATATAGGTCGTGTTTGCAATAAAGATGTCACAAATGCTCATCTGGGTGACATACAAGCTTCATTTTCTTTCCTTAGAAACAGACATGGAGGATTAGCACTCTATCCTGTTAAAAACATATATTTTCTCTGTAAACTACTCTTCTCTTCTGTGGTAACCTACATAAAGCCAGCTTTTATACTTCAGAAGTAAATATTACAAACCATATCAGAGAATCCCTAGATCAAGTCTTGAAACTGCACTGATAAGAATCTTGAGTTCTTTCCTCAGCAGTTCCTGCTGAACTGACCACAGTGAAATTGAGAATAAAAAAGAGCAAGGATGAAGCCAAGAATAGTAACAAAAGACTTGAGTAGTAAGCATTATAAATAAGTATATTGTTATTGGTTGGATTAAATTGCTGAGGCTAATGTGCATAGTTGTTTTCCTCTAGGAGGAAAAGGAGGTTGTAAGAACTCATTGTCTTTGTGAAACAGACAATTAAAATAAAGGTCACCTCTTAAGTTAAAGCGCAGGTACAGGTTTCCACCTAGGACAAAGTCTGCTTAGGAATCTGAAGGATGTGGGTGGACAGGCTTTGCTGGCATTGCTTTAAAGAGAGGTGTGTGTATGAGAGAAGCAGGAAATCACAGGTCAAGGTGAGAAGCAATGCCAGGGCCCAGGAAAAATCTGTGTTGGACACACCTATGGTTTTTTTCGTCCTGAGAGCACCTGAAAAATAGCTTTTAGGACTCTGTATATTCTTGTTCATAAACAGAATAGTATCTCAGATATAGCTTTCATCACTATGTTCTCTTACTATCTGCAATAACCTAACTGAATTTTGTCTGTCTTTGGTTCAATATCCTACATAAAAAAGGATGTCATTATTTTAGGTACTTATGAGGCTTCAATCATTCATGTGTTGAGCATGGCACAAATCAACCCTCATAGTGACATCTCTGTGAGAGAGGGAAATGTCATTAATCATGTTTTACAGGGAGGTCACTAAGATAAAAAGATGGGATAACTAACTGACTGACATTTAAAACATAAGGAGGGCAACTAGATTTAAAATCAAAACCCTCAAAAACACAACAAAACAAACCAAACAGTAGGTGGGAGAGGAACAGTTGCTGTGTCTGGTCATGTATGTAGAAGATCTTTTGTGGCAGGTCTTGTGAGAAGGCACAGAATGAAGTCTGGGACCCCATCTCCTCACATGCTGATGTAAATGGGTGTTTGTAGGGTTGCAGCTTGAGAGGGAAAACAGAGGAAAATTGCGTTCCTTGGACTAACTGTAAATGGAATAATTATTCATGCCATTTCTAAAGTTCTAAGAAATTTTCTTTGATCAGGACAAGGGTTTATATCCCAGCAATGCTGCAACCAGCCAACCGATCCTCGCATAGAAGATCTGTTCTTGCTGATGTCACTGGTGGTACTGGACGGCAGTGTATCTCATCCCAGCTCCATGTGGTCACACACAGCTGCAGAAGGAAGGCCACATTATCAGATCTCGCTCTGTGCGTCCTACCTCTACATGCTTCCAGTTGTCCTGTCAGGACTTTGCGAATCTCTGAAATCCAGGTGTTTTTCAGCTCAACAGAAGATGCCTGAGAACACAAGAGGAAAAGGCAAAGCAGATTTAGCTAAAGCATGCTGCCAGTCGCTTGTCTGCCCTGACCTACATTTGCTCTCAATTTTCCCAAGGAATGGAACACTGTGGCCAGCTTTGAGCAAAGCAGACAACGGAAAAGTTACCATGAATCTAAGGTTCTGTCCTTGCTTTTCTGTTCAGTGTTCCAAGTAATTTTCCACTACTTTGTTTCCTCTTTTACCTAAAATCATGACCATTCTCACAATGATAAATTGGTAATTTCAGTGCCAACACAACAATGAAGCTTCCAATGGCTATTGTTTCGTGAGTGTACAGGACAGTGCAAGTCATAAAACTGAAAACTTTCTTAAAAACAATTCAATTGAAAGGTAGTCCTTGAAAAAAAAAAAAAAAAAGATTGTTGTTACCTGAATGATATAGACCTCTTCTCTGCCATTGTACCAGATCTCAAACTTCTTGTTATCACCTTTTACATTTTCTGTAATGCCCACAGTGCTCATCTGTTTCAAAATACAAAAGAAGCAGCTGGAATCTGGAAAATGTCAATCATCTTTAAACTCTTTTTCCTCTGAGAAGCATTTTTAAAAGGCTGCATTCACTTCTGCATCTTAGGGAGTCATTAAAAGTAAAATTCAGAACATGTTATTTCTCAGCATCTAATTTTCCTATTGTTATAGGAAGAATAAACAAAACAAATTAAGTGCTCAGAAGTAACACAGGCTAATGCCTGATTGTGAGTTTATCCTTTTTGGGTTTTTTGCTTGAACTGTGGGACAGTTTTCAACCCTATCCTGGCTCTTATCCACCTATACAAATTTTCAGTGTGAGGAAGATGGTATTTTCAACTTGCCATCACTGACCTGTTGAGGTGGGAGAGAAAGAGGGATGGAACAGGACTGTGTGAGATTTAATGACTCATCTGCAAATCCAGACAACACCAAAAAATAGATATAGTTTCAGGAAAATTAAAAAAAGACATGAGCAAGGAGCTAAGTGCCTAACTAGGCAAGATGAACAAGGAACTGAAGAAAATAATTCTAGATTTCTTAAATGATAGATTCTTAACCACAATTTTGAACTCCAGCTGCTACTAGACTTACCAGCTTCCCATCTTCTTCCTGTATTTGTTCATCCCCCTTGTTCTGATTTGCCTCAGCATTAGATTTGAAGATTTAAACAGCTTTGATTATGTCATCATTCCTGCCATGTCCACAGGAAGAAACTTCAAATGAAACTTATATGAACTGGTTCACTTGAACCAGGTTCTATTACAATTCCTGTCTGGTTACCCTGTAATGAGTTTGCAGCATTAAACTTGGCGACCCATGTTAGTTGTCTGAAGTCACAAGTGTCACATCAATGTGCTTGAAGGGAAAATTTCACCTACTTGTGAATCTCATCTTAACAGAAAATGTCCTGATTCATATCTGGAAATGTCACTCTTGCAAATAAAAGGGCACTTCTACTGCACTATGATTCATTCGTAGCTATTACTGTCACAGAATATACCTGCTCTAACTGATGTCAATAGTAAAACTTGGAATAGAACTGAACTTGGAGGATGCTTATAGGCAGAACAATGAGAGATGCAAGTCCATTCAGGCTTGCTTCTCTTTATGGGATGCTAGGCAAGAATGCACAAGGTGCCCATTTATATCAAGTTGCAAAACCAAGGTTCACATCTGGAGTTGCAAGACATATGGCTGGGTCTGTCTCCAGATCAAAACTAAATGGGAGCTTTCATTTACTCAGGGGTGCAAGACAGCTCCAGATAGTGTACCTTCTTCAAGTGTCCCCATGGAAACATCCCCGTGTTGTGAGAACACCAGATTTATTTCTCTCCCTCACCATTACCACATTTATTACCTTTAATGAATTTTTAAAGCTGTATGAAGCTGACTTCTCATGGCCATCTGTGTTCTCCTCCCGTTTCTTGCAGAAAAGTAGCATCTTTGTATAGAGGAAGAGGTGTCTCTGCATCGGTTTGAATCTAGCCAAGTCCTTCACCTTGTTGTGTCCCTTCTTGTGGTCAGTCCACACATTGAAGGAACCTTGCATCAAAAGCTTGCCAAGCTCACTGACGTCCCCCTAGCAAGCAAGGAAAAAAAGAAAGCCTACATCAGGTTCAAACTAGGGTAATCCCAGGCACAGTTCTTTCCTCCAGTGGTGGTTAAGCTTCCAGACAGAGGCATATGCCTAGGCATCCCCTGTGTTGGAGAGCGGACATGTTATAGCTGGAATCCTGTCTGCACACGTCTCCTTGCTAAACTTGTGTGGTTTCTTCATATAACCATTAGCCTGTTGTTTTCCATGTCCATAATTCCCAGTTTGTATCCCCATTCATAGTAAGCATCTAAGGTCTGTCTTAGGACCTCTTTGGATCTGACAAACAGGCTGTTCCCTCTGATGACCTCAGAGGAAGCACCTTCTGACAAGAACTGGGTTTCAAGACTCCTGACTGCAAGGCAGCATGAAGGCCCACTGCAGTCCAGACACCCAAGCAAAGGTGGTGGTTCTAAAAGATCTACGTTCAGTTTCTGCTCTGCTACAAGCTTCTATCCCTGGGCAAAACCTTGAAAGACACTTAGATGTCTGAAGACACAGACTGGTGCCTAGAGGTATGTAGGTGTGTAATTCCCTTCCATTGCAAAATAGTCTTCAAAAGCTTTGTCAATGGTTTCTCAGCTCACCATCTGCAAACGATGCAACGCTGCACAGCCTTCGGCAAAGACGGAGTAAATGCACCAAGGAGCCATAAAAGTACCTGAGGGAGAGTGAAACTAAGACCTTTCTAAGTTAAAGCCCTTGTCTGAGGACCACTGATGGGTAAATACTTCAACTGATATAAATATTTGGCTCAGATGCCACCGGCACAAACATTTATAGCACAGTTCAGTACTAAAGAGTGTACCAATGTGTGGATAAAAGACATGGCAACATCTGTATACTAATGGGCTTCAGCAAATAATGATAAACATAATTATCCTAGCACCAAGTTTTTCTAGGAGTGCTTTGTATAATAAATTGAGAGAATAAGCTCAGGACATTATTAAAGTACTTATTTTCAGCATGTGTACATTCTGTTGATTATAAGGTGATGACGTTGGCTCCAAGTGGGAATGTCTGATTTCTTAACTACAGATTGCAACTTGTTCTCCCTCTCACTCCCCATCCTCTACCCTAGATCCAACTGCAAAACCAGGGTTTGATTAGGTACTTTTCCACTTCATATCAGGGTATTATTAGACACTTCAAAACATTCAAAAAACCTCCATAATTTCTGTAACAGTTTCTCATCTCTAATCTATAGAGTTGGATTTTTTTATTTGTGCATACAGGACTGTTTTTATTTGTATTTATATGTGTATGAAGGTGTAAACTGCCAGCCTGTGAAAAGCATATTGATGAGATGTAAAGCTAAATGAAAAAACCCAAACAGACATATTTTCTACATGGTTCTGACAATGGTGAGAGGCTCCTGTCACTCCAGGCACTGTTCAATACAGCACCGAGATCCAGAAGCTCATTTCAACTCTTGTGATAAGTCTGTCTCTTCAATCTTGGATCTAGGACTGGGATTATAACAAGCGAAAAGGGAGGCTATCACTGCAGAGAAAGAGGATGGACAGGGATGGCAGTCTGTAGCAATCCCACAAAAGACTGTGAATATTAGCCCACAAGCCCTGGACTCTCTCTTCAGTGTGGGCAGCAAATGGAGAGGCGGACGCTTTTTCTGGAAACTTGTGCTAGTAGACAGGAATATTTTGTCCTAAAGGAAGTTTATTTAAAATGGAGGATTTAATCATTATCTCAAACATAATTATTCCCTGTTTGACAATACACTGCGTGTCATGTTTATGGAAGATAAGAGACTTCTACGTATGAATGGCTTAAGCACTACATAACTCATGGACAAACTACCCAGGCCAGATTGTATACAAAGGATGACAGTAGGAAACATCTCTAAAACTTCTGCTTTCCAAGCTTTACTCTACTTTTTTGTGGCTTTGCCTAAAAATAAAAAAAATAAAAATCCTACAAACCCAAAAACCAACCCCAAACTTACACATTAGCAATTTCTTACACAAGAGTTCAGCTCCACAAGTCTCATGTGCACAGGTCCAAGAAGCAGAATATCCTATGCAATTAGGAGCATTCATCAGCTGCCACAAAACCTGCTTTTCTGCTGACATAATATCCTCTGAAAGGTGTTCTAGGCAAGTATTCCTATCATGCCTATGTGGGAAAGACTCCACAAGATGGGGTGCAGTTTCATGAGCTATGGGAGGTGTTCATTTGGCATCACAGCTGAGCACCTGGGACAGGTGGGACAGGGCGAAGAAATTATTGGGTTCATCCTCTTTCACACTTTCACGCCATTTAATAATCATGTAACAAACCATCTCAGG